ATTGGCACTCCCAAACACAAAAAGGGCAGGCAATTACAAACAATTGGTAGAGAGTCAAGGGCTAGGGCAAGAGCTAGGGCAAGAGAAAGAACAATGTTGAAGAAATCTCCACAACCCATTTGCATTTCTCAACATTATTTGAACTCAGATGAGACCCATTTGGAAGATTGCCCTAAAGTTTTTGCCTTTTCTGATGATCTCTCATCAATCCACACCTTTTTCTCAGGTAATATCACCACTTTCTTGCCCTAATTCCTTTTTCTCATTCCACATTACTCAAATTACCCTAATTTATTCATCAATTCCTCTATACAAACAAAAACCCTAATTCTTCTTCTTCTTCCTTTTGTTTAATTTATATAATAACCTAAACATTATCCAATTAGGTTTCCGCCACTAAGGTTTCGTTTGATAATCATTTAGGTATGTGCGATGATACTTTTGTTTGTAGTGTTCTGTTCTTTAAATTCATACTTGTTTTTCCTTATTTTCTTACTATTATTTTTATCTTTGCTTAAGAATATTTGTGACGATGTTAATAGAAAATTGATAGCAAAACAAAGATACATACGGGTGAAAATAGTGTTTATAAGCGGAAATTTAGTTTTTATTAAACGGGTCTTTAGATTATCCAATAGTTATCAAACGGGTCGATTTTAGTTCTTGAAAATAATACTTGTTTTTTAATAACTTCTTTACAATAACTTTCATCCTTCTTAAGGAAACATAGGAGTTTATAGCCAAGTTTTCAAATACAATTTTTTTTTAGTTTTCAAAACGAGGTCGTAGATCTCTTGCAATGTTTCGATTGAATCCTTATCCGTCAAAGTAAAGTGAACATAGTTAGTTCTTTGGGTGAAATTTTAAAAATGTAAAAGGAAACAAAAGAAAATTGAGCCCATTTCTGAAATTCAAATGATGGATCAACTCTTATTAGATTGAATTCATTCCTATTATAGATCCTATTTAGCCCACCTTTTTATCCTATACAAATTGTTGCTCTTCCTATTCACTCAAAAGTGAAAGCAAATTACCTAAAAATCTAACCCCAAATCATAGAGCTACTATTGTCTCATTTCTTTTTATATTCAGGGACCAAATACACAAAATTTTTGAAGTTTAGGGACTAAAAACTGCTTCATTCCCTCTCCAATAAACGTGGGATCTCACAATCCATCCATTTGAGGGTCCAGAAAACACGTTTACTAGGGAGAGGTTTCGACACTCTTATAAAGAATACTTAGGTTTACCTAGAAAATGGTCTCCCCGTCTTTACTAGGAGGAGATTTCCACACAGAATACTTGGGTTTCCACTTAGATTTGCCTAGAAAACGTGTCTACTAGCGAGAGCTTTTCACGCCCTTATAAAGAATACTTAGGTTTCCACGCTCTTATAAAGAATACTTAGGTTTGCCCAAAAAATGTGTCTATTAGGGAGAAGTTTCCACACACTTATAAAGAGATTCGCCTACAAAACGCATCTACTAGGGAGAGATTTCCATACCCAAGAATACTTAGGTTTCTACACTTTATAAAAAATGTTTCGTTCATCTCTCCAACTAATATGGGATCTCACAATCCACCCCTCTTGAGGGCCAAGTGTCCTTGTTGGCACACCGCTCGATATCTGGCTTTGATACCATTTGTAATAGTCCAAGCCCACTGCTAACAGATATCATCTGTTTTGGTTTGTTACGTTTCGTCGTCAATCTCATAGTTTTAAAACATGTCTAGTAAGCAGAGGTTTTCATCCCCTTATAAAAAATGTTTTGTTCTCCCTTTCGACCAATATGAGATCTCACACTAATAAACTTCATAAGATCATAATTAGTCCAACACTACGTATAATTTTAGATTAAAAAGTCGGAGATTTGAATCACGACCCACAACCGAGATGCACCAAGTTAAGTTAAAGATGAAGGAGGGTTTAGGGGTTTTTGAAGATGTAGGGTGTTCACAGGTCTGTCAAAGTCAAATAGTGGGAACATCTTACGCCACTATGATATCAAAGTCATGGTGTGCAGCGTAGCCCTGCTGAGCTCTAGGGCTCCCTCCTCTTCCTTTTTTGACTCTCTTTCCCCAACCCATTTTTATTCCTTCAACCCTACAATCCCCATTTCTTCCTTTTCATGCACCTAAATCTGTGCCTACATAATCGTTTACATCAAAACTTTACCTCAATCGTTGGTGTTTGAAGACGTAGGATATCCGGTTGAGGATTATCGGGAGGAGCAGTCTCACATCAGCTAATTAAGGGGAAACCAAAAGCAAAGTCATGAAAGCTTATGCTCAAAGTAGTATTCCACCCGTCAGACTGCATGGGAATCTTCCTAGGTTTTTCCAACTTCCACTCAATCCCCCATGGAAAGCTCTTAGATTGGAAGGCTTGTTTGGTTCGCCCCTCGCTACTGCGTTCTGTTAAGCTATGGATTATAGGAACAAATGTAGTTGAATGAGACAGCAGGCGGGTTACACGTTCCATTGTGCCGAGATGTGAGTTGCAGGTGTGACAATATCTTCCCACTGTAGAGGTTCATAATTCCTAAAATATTATCAAAATCATGCCCTTAACTTCGCTATGTCAATAAAATCTCTCAAATGTCGTACAAATAAGTTGTGAATCTTGACAAGTGTTGAACAAATGGTGTACTTTGTTCGACGGGAAGATTGTTGAGGACTATTGGAACACCATCTCCATAAGTATGATGCCTTCTGGAGAAACCCTAAAGCCATGAGAGCTTATACTCAAAGACGATAACATCGTACCGTTGTATCCACAAACAACATGTTATGTTGTTCCTTAAACTTTGCAATTACTTTAACATAATGAGAACATGGGAAGAGAACAAAAGTTGTTGTTTTGCATTTCAGATAGAGAATATAATAAAGTAGAAATGGTTCTAAGTGTTGATCGAGCCTGTCTCTTGTGTGGAAGCTTTCTTATCACCAAATGCATTTGATCAAATCAACACAATCGCTTTGCATTTTGCTATCAGGTTCTAACACGTTCATTGCTACCAAAAAGCATTGCATACACGTTTACACAACTTAACATCTAATCCTATTAATTAAAGAGATGCCTGAAAACAAGCCTAAAAACTTTTTATCTCCTCCTCTTAAACCTTAGGGTTGGTGTCATGTTTTGGTATCTTCTCTTTAACCACTTAGTACAGATGTTATCGAGCACCGAAACCTAATTGTTCGTTTTGGCTTGTTATGTATAACTATCAGCCTCATGGAATTCTAAGAAGAGGTTCCACACCCTTATAAGGAATGCTTTGTTTTTCTCTCCAACTGATGTGGGATCTCACAATCCACTCTCGGCACACCGTTCAGTGTTTGGCTCTGATACCATTTGTAACAGTTCGAGACCACCATTAGCAGATATTGTCTGCTAAAGCCTATTATGTATTGTCGTTAGTCTCACGGTTTTAAAACACATATATTATGGAGAGGGTCTAGTCCTACTCCGACCAATGGCTCGCACCATCTGGTGACTGACTCTAATAACAGCCCAAGCCCACCGCTAGTAAATATTGTCCGCTTTAGCCTGTTACGTATCATCGTTAGTCTTACGATTTTAAAACGTGCCTACTATGGAGAGGGTCTAGCCCTACTCTAACCAGTGCCTTGCACCGTCGGGTGACTGGCTCTAATACCATTTGTAATTGTCAAAGCTCACTGCTAACAAATATTATTCGCTTTGACCCATTACGTATTTTGATTAGCCTCACAGTTTTAAGACGCGTCTCGAACCCCATTTAGATAGAATCAAGGATGAAGAATATAATCTTCGTCTCCGACCCCGTTTAGCTAACCAAGAGAAATCTCTCATCCTTTACTCCTCATTCGTAGTCGTGTTTGTAGCGAATCTCCACAAGGTGTGGTTGTAGGAGTTAAATGACAAGTCTATGACATAGGAACATTTTTTAGGTTGGAATATTTTGAGAAGCATATGAATGTTTTGTTCAAAGGTTATTGGTTTAAACCTAGGAGTGTTTGTGGCATAAATGTCTGAGCCACCACCAACTTTTGTAAGACCTCAAACCGTAGAAAAAGCAAATTCCATAAAATCTGTTTGAACAGAATAAAATCTTGGATGGTGGGTTTTAATCATAGATCCTGCTCCCATATGTAGGCAAATCAAAAGGGGCCGTGTCCTTGTAACCTTGTGTGCTAGATTATAACTCGGGTAGGAAGAAGTGACAACTAGTCGTATCTCTTATGGTACATTTTGAGACATTTTAGTTCTAGCGAGTGTAAACATGATTTTGATTACTGGTTATACACCCCATATTGACACAACATGAAATAATAAAAGATCAATCTAAGATGAAAATATGTAAAAGGGGTTTGGAACGAGCATGCGACCATGGACAACACGTCTTAGACAAGTATGACAGAGACATTCGACATGTGGTCATAGACAACATGACTTGGACAAGTATGACCGAGACATCCAACATATGACCATAGGCAACACGACTTGGATAAATATGACAGAGACATCCGACATGTGGCCATAGACAACACGACTTGGACAAGTATGATTGAGACATCTGACATGTGGCCATGGGCAACACGACTTGGACAAGTATGACTGAAATATTTGACATGTGGCCATAGGCAACACGACTTAGAGAAATATGATAGAGACATCCGACACGTGACCATAGGCAACACGACTTGGAGAAATATGATAGAGACATCCGACACGTGGCCATAGACAACACGACTTGGAGAAATATGATAGAGACATCCGACATGTGACCATAGGCAACACGACTTGAGAAATATGATAGAGACATCCGACATGTGGCCATAGGCAACACGACTTGGACAAGTATGACACAGACATCCGACATGTGGCCACAAACAACACGACTTGGACAAGTATGACTGAGAGATCCGACATGTGGCCATAGCATTGGACAAGCATGACCATAGAACGGACGGATTGAAATTTGAATGAATTGAATGGACTTAATAATTGGGCTTAATAATATATGGAAAATTGAAGTGGTATTGGGCTTAGTGATTGGGCTTAGTAATTGGGCTTAATAATTGGGCCCAAAATTGAAAGCAGAAGAACCACATTTCTTCCCTCCGCCGTCCGCCTCATCGGCTTTTTACGCATTTCCCTCTCATTCCGATTCCGAATGCAAACAACAATGCTCTCCGTTTCCCCTTTCTTCCATCTCATTCTTCTCCTCTTCTCTCTCGCCGATCTCCTCAACGCCGCCGCCGCCGCCGACTACCTGAAGCTTCCATTGCTCCACAAGAACCCCTTCTCCTCCCCTTCCCAAGCCCTCTCCTCCGACACCCACCGCCTCTCCCTCCTCTTCTCTGCCCTCCGCCGCCGCCCTAACCCCACTCTCAAATCCCCTCTCATCTCCGGCGCCTCCACCGGCTCCGGCCAGTACTTCGTCGACCTCCGCATTGGCACTCCTCCCCAGAGCCTCCTCCTCGTCGCCGATACTGGCAGCGACCTCGTCTGGGTCAAATGCTCCGCCTGCCGCAACTGCTCCCACCACCCTCCCTCCTCTGCTTTCCTCCCCCGTCACTCCTCCTCCTTCTCCCCTTTCCACTGCTTCGACCCCCACTGCCGCCTCCTCCCCCACGCTCCTCCCCACCTCTGTAACCACACGCGCCTCCACTCCCCCTGCCGCTTCCTCTACACTTACGCCGACGGCTCCACCTCCTCCGGCTTCTTCTCCAAGGAAACCACGACGTTGAAGACCCTCACTGGCTCCGAGACCCGTCTTAAAGATCTGTCGTTCGGGTGCGGCTTCCGGATCTCGGGTCCGAGCGTTTCGGGCGCCCAATTTAATGGAGCACGTGGTGTCATGGGATTGGGCAGAGGTCCGATCTCCTTCTCCACTCAACTCGGCCGCCGATTTGGCAATAAATTTTCCTATTGTCTTATGGATTACACACTCTCTCCGCCGCCCACCAGCTACCTAATGATCGGCGGCGGCCTCCGTAGACTCCCCGTGACCAATGCCACCAAAATCAGCTACACCCCATTGCTAATTAACCCTCTGTCACCAACATTCTACTACATTGCCGTCAAGAGCATCACCGTCGACGGCGTGAAATTACCCATCAACCCGACCTTGTGGGCCATCGACGAGCAAGGAAACGGCGGGACGGTGGTGGATTCGGGAACGACGCTGACGTATCTGGCAGAGGAGGCGTACAAGGAGGTGCTGAAGGCGATGAGACAGCGAGTGAAGCTACCGGCTGCAGCCGAGTTGACTCCGGGATTCGATCTATGCGTGAACGTATCAAACGAATCGCAGCGGCCGAGTCTACCACGAGTGAGATTCCAGCTGGGGAATGGTGCAGTGTTTCCGCCGCCGGCGAGGAACTACTTTCTGGAGACGGAGGAGGGGGTGATGTGCTTGGCGATCCGAGCAGTGGAGGGCGGAAATGGGTTCTCGGTGATTGGGAATCTGATGCAACAAGGATTCCTGCTGGAGTTCGACAAGGAGGCGTCGAGGCTGGGCTTCTCAAGGCGGGGCTGCGGGCTTCCTTGAACCTTCGTTCGTTCTTTGGTTCTTTTTTCACGACTCGACTCGACTCGACTCACTGAGTTGGGAACTCGTGACCCATTTTGGATTTGCCAAAGTTATTAATAATAATAATAATAATAATAAGGTACTTCTGCATTTCTGTACACAAAAATATATTCATTTTTAATTTATTTGTCTACTTCTACCACCCTTTTTAATATATATATATATATATATAATTAATTAAATTATTATCTAAATAAATATATATATATATATATTTGTTGTTATGTGTGATTACTCATTCAATAAATTTCTTTCTTTTTTTAAATAATTTTATTGTAAAATGTGATGTGTGATGGACTATTATTGAGTTGTAGATGGAAAACAAAAAGTTGAGTATTATGGAGATGGAGATGTAAAAGCAAAAGTATGTTTTTTGTTTCTTTTTTTTCGAGTCCAATATTTTTTTTAGTGCGTTTCGGTGAGCGCATGAAATGGTTCAAGCCCACCGCTAACAAATATTGTCTGTTTTGACCCATTACGTATCGTTATTAGTCTCATGATTTCAAAACGTGTCCATTGGTGTGAAGTTCCACACTTTTATAATAAATGTTTTGTTCATACTCTCCTGTAAGATCTGTTCTTGAAGTTAAGGAGTCTTAGAAAATGTTTTTTTTTTTCTTCGAAAGTCTTTTGGAGTTATTGTAGACTTCGGTTCTTGATGGTCTTTCGGCCCAATTAGTTGAATTTGGGCCGAATTATTTAACGAGTCTAAATATCACCACTTAATTTGACTAAGCTAGCTTATTCGATCGATTCATTTCGTTGAAGACTTGCAACATTGTTGGATTTTCCCATTTTACTATGCATGGTCAATTTGTAATTGGTTCCTCTTTATTCCCACACTCCTTCATTTCAGCATGTTTTGTCTTGGTTCACATGCATCTTAGAAAAATATCTACGACCTCACTATACATGGCATGTTTAATCATGATTGAGCCAGTGTCATTTCTTTTAAGCGTTTTTTAGTCATTGTATCCTCAAGATTACTTCTATTCGTACGCGGTCTCGATTCATTTATGTTCAGTGTCACATAATTGAAAATAAAATTATCCCGTTTTCAATGAATGGGTTTTACGAAAAAAAAAAAAAAAAAAACATTCTCTCTGGTCACATCAAATCATTGTATGGATATTCCAAGTCTTTCCCTTCTCATCTCATCCAATTTTACACTTCACTTGATGAACATAAAAATCATGTACAAGCATTGAAGTAGGAAGAATGTGAATGAGCATAGGATATTGGAAGCATGATATTAAAGGCAGAAATAAATGGTATCAATTCTTATACAATGAGTAGCCATAGCCGTAGAGAGTTTATAGTTTGAATATCTTGAAACGGATACCAAAAGTTTCCCCCACAAACATGTGGACATCAGAGTCCTTCAAATGGATCCAATTAAATTGCTGCCCACTCGCATTTATTGTTAATATTATGTACCCAAACACAAATACATAATAAATAAGAGAAACATGATGAAAACCCATAACCCACTTCCCATATTCTCTTAAATATTTTTCCACCGCGACTCTTCGGAAAAGGTTTCCGCACCTTTATAAGAAATGTTTCTTTCCTCTCTCTAAATGAACAATAAGTGAGCATGAGGACGTTGGTCTCCATGGAGGGTGGATTGTGAGATCCCACATCGGTTGGAGAGGAGAACGAAACATTCCTTCTAAGGGTGCGGAAACCTCTCCCTAACAAACGAGTTTAACACCATGAGGCTGATAGTGATACATAACAAGCTAAAACGGATAATATCTACTACCGGTGAGCTTGAGCTGTTACAGACACTGGGCAGTGTGCCAATGAGGACGTTGGTCCCCATGGAGGGTGGATTGTGAGATCCCACGTCGGTTGGAGAGAAGAACGAAACATTCCTTTTAAAGGGTGTGGAAACCTCTCCCTAACAGATGAGTTTAACCCCGTGAGGCTGATGGTGATACATAACAAACCAAAATGAACAATATCTACAACCGGTGGGCGGAAAAAGGGTGGATGAAAGGAGAGAAAGGGTATGAAAAGGCAAAGTGTATAGTTGGGGATGGGGCCATGAGTGTGTGTTTGTACTAAAACACTGCTACTTTATTAATGGATGGTGGTGGGTTCTTGCTTGTTGTAGTCACTGATTACGTTAAAATCAAACATTTTGATCCAAAAATGAGTCATATCAGTTCACTGCCACCATTCCCCACCACACCAAACCAAACCAACCTTCACACAACAAGCCCTTCCTCTTCTCTCCACCCTTTTCCTCTCACCTTCCCTTCTCTCTCTCTCCACTAATTTCTTCTGTCCTATATGTCTTTTAGGAGACCATCCATGTTCTTCTTTATACCAATGCACATATTGTCCTTACATGAGAGATACAGAGAAACAAAGCTAAAATCAATGATAGAGTGAACAACTTATCTGGGAAACGACGTTCAACTCGTCGACGGTGGACGTAGTAATCGTGAACGTTCTATAACGATGGACAGACCAGCTAATAATACTTTTCATTGGGTCAACCACAACAATTCAACAACATTTAATCTCTGCTACATGAACTTAAGATGCAAAAAGATCTATTCATATATACGTCTACATGACAGACAATTTCAATAATATCAGAGGAAAACCAGCTACCAAGTCATATCAGAACTCCCAACTCAGTAAGAAAAGTAGAGAATGAAACCTAGTAGTGCCATGAGACAAACGTTGCCAAATTTCAACGTCCCCGACAAAGTTGGTCCTCCCGAACTATATCGATGTTGCCTGACAGAGAAACAAAAGAATCGAGAATAAGAACGAAATCGAGGGGAAGTTTAGTGCAAAATGCAGGATGGTTTGGGGCTGAAGTTTTGAAGTTACTTACGTCTGTAGGCTCTGAAGGGCACCACAATATAGAACATTTGGAGGGGGAGGCATTTCGGTTTCCCCATTTTCCTCAGGATTGATGATTTTCATGTATGTTTCTTGGCCCAAATACCATCTATCCAGATTTTCTGTTCTTATGTTCCATGTTCCAACGTTATCAAGTGAAATGAGGATTGCAGTCCAAGCCCATGGATAAACCTACAAGTATGACGCCACGGATACAAAAGACTAATTATAAGAAACAAAATCAACGTTACTGCTACATGGCATCGCGATATTCAACGGTCGACTAGGTTGACTAAACAAACAACTTAAGCAGATTTCTCAGACATGGTGTAACAAGCATGGTAAGCATTTGGTAGTTCTTATACTTGGTCATTCATGATACATTGTTGCTTGCACTTACCATTGTGTCATTTCAATGAAACGGCACGATATTATTGAGATGCTTACGTCAAGAGAAAGTGACATATCAAGACAAGAGTATGTTGAAGATTGTTGGGAGAGATGCCCTATATCGGCTAATTAAGGGGTTGGTCGTGGGTTTATAAGTAAGGAACACTATCTCCACTGGTATGAGACCTTCTGGGGTAACCAAAAGCAATATTACGAGAGTTTATGCTCAAAGTGGACAATATCATATCATTCTAGAGAGTCGTGGTTCCTAACATGGTATCAGAGTCATGCCCTTAACTTAACCATGTCAATAGAATCCTTAAAATGTCGAACAAAGAAATTGTGAGCCTCGAAGATGTAGTGAAAAGTGACTCGAGTGTCGAACAAATGGTGTACTTTATTTGAGGGCTCTAGAGAAAGGAGTCAAGTCTCGATTAAGGGGAGGTTTTTGACGGCTACATAGGTCTCAAGGGAGGCTCTATAGTGTACTTTGTTCGAGGGGAGGATTGTTGGGAGAGGAGTCCCACATTGACTAACTAAAGGGTTGGTTGGTCATGGGTTTATAAGTAACGAACACTATCTCCATCGGTATGAGGCCTTTTGGAGAAACCAAAAGCAAGCTATGAGAGCTTAGTCTCAAAGTGGACAATATCAACGATCCTCAACAACGTAGGATTTGTAGTTGTGGCTTCAATAACATCCTTAAAGAAATTACTCATTAGCACACGCGAAGAAAAAACCCGAACCAACCTGTATTGTACAGCGGCTGATTGCATCCCACTTATTGTAGGAACCTCTTTTATCTTCTGACCAATCACCATAACCCATCCTGAGATGAAGAATCGTTTAGTTAAATAACGATAATAAGTTGAAAATCAAAAGACCAAAACATGAATAGAAATGTGACTCACCCTGTAACAAAGAAGGAATAACCATTCACGTGAAAGCTCTGCATTGTAATATCATTGTTCTGAAATATGACCTCAATGAACCCTTTATATGTAGCATTAAGAACAGATCTATCAGCATGTGGCGTCCGGTTAAACGGTCTATCAGGAAAATCAAGTTTGTAAGCTCCCTTGACACTATTCTGGTCAGCAAGCCTGATGGGCATATCGGGATTGACAAATGAGATACCGTTGAGGGTTGCTCTAGGTGACCCGCTTATCGTCACCAATGGTGCACTCTTCAAGACGAAGGTCTGTGTTACACTAATTTGACCATAGTGGAACGATCCCTGAGGATTAGGACGAGCTCCACTCGCAGTTACATTTTGCCTAACAAAGCCAATTCGGTATCAAATGTTACATATCCTTGGCTAAAAACATGTTGAACTCGTAATCTACGCTCTAGCAAAGCTTTTAATGCTCATCAGTGCCTCGTCTATAGGATATCAAATTTGGAGCGAGTTAATAACATACCTTACACTCCTTGCTTGGTTCATGGATCTCTCTTTGTCATATATGTCGTTAGGTGGGTCAGGAAGCGGACCAGTTGCTGGTCCTTTAGAATTAGAATAGTGCAAGATGGCAACACCCGTGACCCTTTCCCAAGTAGATCCATTCACAAACCTAGCACTTGCAACAATGTAGTAATCGGTGCTAGCATTCTGATCCATCGTAACTAAGAACGAATAGGACTGCCCGACATGAATATCGAAATCTGTGAAGTTCTGTTGAACTGTGTAATGCCCATCGGTTTCTACGAGAAGCATATTATGATTCTGGATTCTGAAGTTCAAACTAGTTGAAATACCAACATGATGCACGCGAAGTCGGTACGTTTTTCCTGCATCACATAAGGTCAACATCAATTTAAGATCCTGGCAGTTGAAGACTACCATTCT